ACAAAAAAAATAATTGAGCAAAGAATATCCTTTTCCATAATTTCCTCTTCTGGCTCTACAATTATATATATATATATATATATGTTTGAATACATAGAATATTCTAGAATAGAAGTCAACAACAATATTAATTTATTTTGTTATTGGTAACCAGGTTAGTTGTAAAGCGGTTGTAAAGAAACTCCGAAATGATATCATCTCGCGAAATTTGTCTTCTAAATGTCTTTGTCAAATTTATCAAAGGGACTAATTGTTTTAGCGATATTAGTGTTTTTTAAATAACATCGATTTGTAAAGTAAGATCAAAATCTACAATTATACATACAAACAAATATATAATTGTAGAACCAGAAGAGGAAATTATCGAAAAGGATATTCTTTGCTCAATTATTTTGTTTTTTCTAAAGTTACAAAAGTCAAGCAGCATTCCACTCACATCACCTTACACAGAGGGATGTTGGACATTGAAACGCTTAATTGGTTGGAAGAGTTCATCATGAGCTGACATCAGTTAGAGAACCACTGGAAAACCTGGGAGTACTGGACAGCTGTTTCGTCCTAGTTTGGGACTCCTCAGCAGTACGCATCCACCGGGGTTCGAACCCAGGACCTTCTGGTTACAAGGAGAGCTCCAGTGGTTCTCTAACTGATGTCAGCTCATGATGAAATCCTCCAACCAATCAAACAAAAAATCCCTACAAAACCAATACTTGAAACGCTTAAGTCAAAAGATTATTTTCATTGGAGAACAATAGTTATACCACTGGTTAGTGTGTCAGTGGTTCAATGGTAGGACATCCATCAGATACACAGGAGGTCCAGTTTCCATTCTCGGTCGACACACTCCTAAACCTAGCCTAGCTAACTAACCAGTTGGTAAGCCTATAAAAGGTCAGGTGTAAGGCTGACAGCTTCACCCTGTAAAGAAAAACAACACCAATACCGAAAATTTCAAAGTTTTAAGTCCTATATTCTACTCAGAACACAAGAAATAAGAAAAAAGCACTGGTATACAACCTTAACACATAAAAGATCCCACAGCTAGCTCAACAGTGTGAATATTCTACGCTAAAACATATTCACTTGTGTGAAAACACTTATTTAATTATTTTGTGTACTGGTTTTAGTGCTAAAGAGAATCCCAAAATGCAGTAGAACATTAGTGACCTTAAGAGATGAAAAGTAAGTGAAAATGAATAATTAACGTGAAGAACGATAAGATAGATATAACAGAGAAGATAAGAAGAGGAGTTTAAGTGAATATGATCGCAATATTATTCTTTTCTTTGAGTTTTTGAAGTACTCTCAACTGATTTATACATAAAGAGATCTTTTTTTAAGGATAGTTGAATAATTAGTACGTTCCTTTTTACACACATACACACACGCAGGCAGGTATACACATGTGCACATGCACATTAACGATCAATATTCTAGAGACAATCAGAATAGTAAGGATAACTCAGGGGATAAATAAATAAACATTGTAAAGGAAATAATTCCTGAATAATAATGACTAGACGTCGTTTGTTTTTCCCTTCTGATGATCAACAACGAATACGTTCTCATATTTATTTACAGAAAAAGCACATGAAAACTATAAACACCAACTTTAGAACACATAAAATATCCGATATTGGACTTGATCAGCGGTAGTCAGTAATGAAATCCAGGACTAGCTAGCTGGATACACATGCATTTTCCGTGAGATCTGAACCCAGCGTGCCCCACCGTTTCAAACGTCAAAAGCCAGTGGATAACGCTTTGGTGTTTGAAACGACTGGTACTACATTCATGTCTCAGTAAGAGAGCACTGTGAGTCATTGGGTCTGATGGTACACCCAGCTGATGAGTGCCGAATAGGATGGAATGTGTCTCCTGCATTCCACTGCTAGTCAGCACCAATTAAGTAACGTCACGATTACTTGACGGCCTTATTTAAGCGTCCGTACTATGAGCCGACATGTTTATGGAGACCAAGCGCATTTCGCACCAATAAAAACAATCAAAAGGGAACTCAAAACAACTCCAACAGATATTGGATTTCAAGTTTGATCAAAGACTCATTTCAGTTTTGGAGAATCATTGAAACTCTTCAGCAGCGCACACCCATGACTTCACAAAGAACTAAATCCAAGACCTGTAAGGGACTCCATGTTTCTCAGTGATCCTCCAGGTGAAGTTGGTTAGTGATCGGACTTGAGATCAATCAAATCCCTACCAAACAACACCTGGAGATACTGGATTCAAGTACCACCGTCCGATAAGTATGCGAGTTTGCAATATAACCGGCATATAACCGTAAGTCGCCATTTTATGAGCAATGATCAGTTCGAAAGCTACGGATTTGTGATATAAATGGCTTTATTAATTAAGCCCTTTTAAGCATTTCGTTTAAAGCTGAATGTTACTTAACAATAAGAATGCATACTTGAAGTCTAAAAATATAACACTAGTCTACTGTGCTACTTTAGTTTATAGTCAATAAGTATTAATCAGAACTGGTTATGACCTAATTTATTGGTGAATAATAGATTCTAATGCGATATATACGCCTTTTACATGTAGTACATAATATATATGTTCTCCAAAGTTAGTAAACATCCCACGTAATAAATTTCGTATACAATAATATAATGTTAACAGCGTTTGCAAAGTGATTTATATGGAAATGGTACCACACACCAAAGCAATCAAAAAGGTAACATGTAATGGCACCAATTTGATGTCTAAAACATGTAATATCTATCTTTTAAGATTGATTTCATCAAAAAGTTTGTTTATAACAGTCGGAAAATACAGTGGAAAGGAAGGAGAGCATTTTTCATAACTGTTCTCTTTTTGTCGGGAATCCTTCAACAGTAAGCTAATATGTGCTGTGAAGAGACAAGTATATATACTCGGTAGATCACTTATTACGTGAATACATTATCATTTAAACACTGGGTAGAAATCTGTTCGCCGGTTCTAGCCAGACTGAGCCGTACATAGCTCTAGAGTAAGAAGTACTTTGGTTGTCAGTATTTTTAAAAATAATACCACCAGTTAATGATTAGAACTACTCTGACATTTACAAACCTAACAAATGAATATCTTTTTTAAACTTTCGGTTTTGTAGCTACTTTTCAGAGTAGGGAATCAATGAAAATCAAGAAGTACTGGACAGCTACTGCGTCCTCGTTTGAAACTCTTCAACAGAACTCATCCAGAATCCGACTAGGACCTACGAGTTACGAGGCGAGCCCGTTTACCATCCAACCCCTGAGTTAGTAAAAATCAAAGGCCTCTGAATTCTAACTTATATCAATTCGTGGTATGGCAATACTTTCAACCAATACAATCTATGAGTAACCGCCTCCGACCCTAGTTATAACTTCTCATTAGAATCTAGAACCTTCGGAGTTCAAAACTAGGGTGAAGCAGCTGTTCAGAGGTTCTTGATTCTCAATAACTTTCTAAATGACGTCGGTCCATGACAAAATCTACACAGTAATATCTTTCCCTGATTAAAATCAGTTGATAATAGATTGATAACAAGTCAGATAAACTTTATCCAATAATAAAATATTAGCCACATGTATCGTGGCAGTCTGCCAGTCACCTTCGGCAGTAATAATATTTAAAGCCTATATAATTGATTATGATAAAAAGTAATGGTCAGACACTGATAAAACAGTATAAGAGCTTATGGAGAGTTGTCATCTGAAGTAATGACAACCAATGGTGTCCCTCAGCGATGTGCCGTGTTCCCCATTTTTGTTTATTTTCATCATACGTGTACTAACTGAATTGACCCTAACTGACTTTAGTGATTTAGGGATTATTGACTTGTTACCAGGGTATAGTCATGTTGACTTAGAGTATGTGGATGATTTTGTCTTTCCAGGTGAAGACGCTGGCAAAATATCGAGTATTCTGAACACCTTGAGAAGAAATCTTGTTGTGTTTGCCACAGGATTCGCTCGTAGGACTGGTCTGCATTGACATGTTTACAGATTGGGACAGAAACGGTAGAGCATGTTGATCACTTCCTTCATTTGGGAAGTTGCATCAACTCCAGTGAACTGACTTTAATTAATATTTTTAAATTTTATTATAGCTTGATTCCACACAGTATTTTGGTACAAGTATGAAATTGTCAGCATTTGATATCGGTAGCCCAAATTTAGCAGGCCGACCGTAGATATCAGGTGTGCGTCGGTGGGGGGTAGAACTCCGGACCATGTGCATGGTCGGCGAGAGTCCTAACCGCTGCGCCACCGACGCACGAAATCTTAGCACGGACATAAAAGGCTCGCATGGCATTTACCAACTTACGTCATAACTGGCTACTGATCACAGGATATGTGTACTGCGCAGCAGTTTGCTCTGTCTTCCTTTATCGCTGTGAGATGTTTGCCATTGGAAGTGGGAGATCTGAAGAGGCTTGCTATCTTTGACAAGACTGGGCGTTGAGTGTTAGGTAATGCAAATCAGGTAATGAGTTTGCAAAGCTACACATCAGTCAATGACGTCTTTGACTGTTGATTTGAGGTGACCACGCGTAGACTGACTGGTTCAGGTCCTGGGGATGCTTACTGCCAACGGCTTGAGACTGTTTGTGATATGGCTCAAAATCTTTCTCAACGCAGCAGATGTATTCACTCTTTGTGAATTTTCATATCCACTATACCGTATTGTTTCTTTCACGTTACTATTCTTTCTCCTTCACATTTCGGCTTATCATAGTCCTTCTGAGTCCACTTATTTCCTTCTTATGTCTACTTTTGTGTACTATCTAGAGTGTGGCAGCTAGAACACTACTATGCTAAGTTCTATGTTATAACTCAGTCGGTCATTAGTCAAATACTATTCCTTTACTTTACTAACAACAGATATGCAACAGTCCGGCATAAAGCTGTAATAGCAATTCGGTATAAAAAAAAATGCAGCGATGAAACGGACAGACGGAAATCATGATATCTTTAACAAGATAAGTTCAATACTTGACTACCACTTACTTTGTTAGCAGTCATGTAAACTGGTAGTGTTACAGTTGAACGACTTGCACTTGCGTTACCCATATCTTGCCTGTTTTGTTTCATTTTGATTTTGACGTTGACCATATTTTGTTGTTTTTTATAAAGTAAAATAAATCAAAAATATATAAAAGCATTAGAATTATATACAGGTTACATATTGATACTGTGTATATATAGCTATGCATTAACCTGTACGCTAAAAGTTACATATAGCAAAATAGCAATTTCATTTGATTCTGTTTATCAACACAGAATTTGGTATGACTAAGCAACAGTTGACATCCGCACAACAAAGAAAAGATGCTATCAGGTAAAAGCATCAAATTAACAGGTTTGGTTCCATTAAGAAACTGAAAGTGTAGAAAATGATGCAACAACACCAGCAAAGATTCAGTTATTTATTCTGTTGGGAAGTTTCATAGTTTTGACAAAGAACTCCCACTTGTATACACGACTAAATGAACCACCAATGAAAACTGATTGATTTCATTGCAGCTTAAAAACTTCAAAAATGCTATACAGACACATTCAGTTGACGAGTTCCAAATGGGACGAAACATGAGTCATAGCACCGACTGCTAGCCAGCATCAAATCAGTCTTAAATCAGGTTCTATATAATCAGTAATTTGTGCTTCATATCAGCAATCCACGGTGGTCTATCTATAACTGTCCTAAGAACTGGTCAAAAAAGCAAACTTCTGTAAAATTTCTAGATTTCAGTATCATCAACTATCAACTATCAAAATTCATGTACATTTAGTAAAATCTACAAGATAACGTATTATTTTGATTTGACACTAGTAACTAGTGTGATGTACCTAGTCCTCTGTTTGGTGCAGACTGAATTCTATCAGTCAGGTTTGTAATGTGGCCACTATTCTGGGTAGCTCACCATAATGGTGCACATTGATTCGATGATATTAGATGGTTGGAGGCGATCGGGAGGAAGCCTAGGACCTAGTTTTCGTGCTATTTGGCACTCACCAGTCAGCAAGGAGTATCTGCAACCTCGAAGGAGCTCATGTCCCTTCTGAGATTCGAACCCCCGTCACCCGGTGCTGCAGTCAGAGATGTTACCACTGAACTATTCGGGCTCGCGATTGACCTCCTGTAGGACTGTAGTGGATACTTTGGTTGGACACCATCTAATATCGTCAGACCAATGTACACCGTGATGGTGAGCTACCTAGAGTGGTGGCCACATTGCAAACCTGACTGATAGAATTCAGTCTGCACCGAACAAAGGACTAGACACGTCACACTAGTTACTAGTGTCAAATCAAAATATCCACTACAGTCCTGCGGGAGGTCAATCGTCAGCCCGAATAGCTCAGTGGTACCGTCTCTGACTGCAGCACTGGGTGACGGGGGTTCGAATCTCAGACGGTACATGAGTTCCTTCAAGGTTGCAGACCGGTGAGTGCCAACTAGCACGAAACCTAGGTCCAAGGCTTCCTCCTGATTGCCTCCAACCATCTAATATCAACACAACGTATTATTATCAACCTATATAAAACAAGTATGGCCGATAGATTAGAGTATAGAAACGTATTTGTACTCATCTTATTATGAGATTAAACTAGTTAAATTATAAGTGATACACAGAGGTAAACTCGGTTCTGACAGCGGCCAGCTTAAATCTTTGGGTTAGCTAAATTTTGCTATCGACTTTACTCTGTTTCAATAAGTTTCTGCCTGCCGCTAGGAGTTTATGTTTTTTTGAAAGAGGAAGAGGTAGCTTTGGAGTATGGTCCGGATAGAACAATATTTCATTACACGACATATAATCCGTTTATTATAGTATTTGAAGATTCTTCACAAAGGATAAATACCTTGCAATGAAATTCACTGAAAATTTTGTCTTGTGCATAAATGAATTTTTCAGAGTAAATTTGTTATTATTATTCATTTGATAACTTTTTTTTACGAAAAATGGAAATCCCATTTCATGTGTGTACACGCACATTTGAACTAATCACACAGGAAAATTAGATAAGGCACAAAAGTAATAAAAAATTCTCAAAAAAAAAGGATAATAATGAGAAGAAAGGAAGTACAAACTAGAGGAAGATTTATTCATTGTTTATTTTTGCTTTTACGCAGAAACAAACTAGGTATTAAGGAAATATTAGGAAAATGAGGATATTATTAAGGGGATTGCGTGGAAACTAGTTATGGCATGTAATTATCCTGTAATAATTCAAGTATTGGTTTGTAGGGATTTGATTGATTGGTTACAGGATTTCATCATGAGCTGACATCGATTAGAGGACTATTGGAAAACCTAGGAGTACCGGACAGCTAGTTGTTTCACCCTAGTTTGTGACTCGTCAGCGGTACGCACCCAACGGAGTTCGAACCCATGAACTTCTGATTACAAGGCGAGCTCGTAAACCACTAAGCCACCGGGACCCCGGTGGTTGCGTACTACTGAAGAGTCCCAAACTAGGACGAAACAGCTTCCAGTACTACTAGGTTTTCCAATGGTTCTCTAACCAATGTCAACTCATGACGAAATCCTGTAACTTATCCTTTAATAAGTTGGGTGATTCAAATGCAGTTTCGAAGCATATTTTGTGAGAAGACATCCTGTTGCTTGAGAAATCTTGAAAAATCTACCCCTCACGTATCGATGCTGTTGTTGAAGTCGTGAATAGAGATGTTCCCACTTGTCAAATAAGTTTGCATAGCTTACCATTTACTAAGGCATATCACCGGGCATATCAGAAGAAGTGAATATTCTGGGTTTGAGAAAGATTACCTAAGTAGTAAATAGGTAATTAAATCCTACAGATGAGGCTCATTGGTTTAGGTATTTCTCTTATAGCTAACTACTTCTGAGTTCGAATTCCGTCGCATCTAAGTAAACTTAGACCTAGTATGTCTACATGTATATATGTGAGGATCATAGCCTAGTGAACGAAAAACATATCCGGGAAACTGAGTTTGAAGTTCAAGAATATTCGACTTTAGTAGACTGGGTACACTGTGCATTCCCCACTGGCTAATTTGCTTTATTTTCATTCTACAACTTGAAAGGAAACTGGATTCCATCCCCTACCGAGTTGACACGTGTGGAGAATTTATAGATATGTTTAGATCTCAAAACTGAGAAATTTAAGACCAATAAGAAAGATGGAAGTAGTAATGAAAATAATTTAAATAATAATAAATAAGTTTTATCAGAGGTCCTAACACCGAATTCTTATAAATGCTGGGATTAGTCTGACATTCAAACCAGACAAATGAATCAAAGATATGAACTTTATCGATTTACGTTAGTGATAAACCCAATCAAACAAAACAATGTCAACTGCCGAATAACATTTGATGACTTTGAGATCAATTACATGGGTCGAACCAGTAAGATTGATGTCAGTTAGGCTGTCAGAACATAAAAACTAAGCCAATGCCAGAATGATTGACTCTGCAAAGTTAAACAATCCACAAAAAGGTTTCGACATTACAATGCATTCACTTGCATGTAATCACACAATAGCGTGGAAAAGAGTAAAAGTGTTAAAAGTAATATAATTAGGTGGAGATAGAGGTTAATCACCAAATCCTTGTTGTGCATCGGTGGCACAATGGTAGAATGCTCGCCGACCATACATGTGATTCGAGGTTCGGTCCCCGGCCGACGCACTCCTTTACCTCACTAAGGCAGTGGTAAGACTGGGAAAGAGGGTAGGTTGGGCACGAAGCTTGCAACCCACCTCGTAACAATAAACACCACTGCTAGCTTGAAGCCCTATGCTTCACTGGGAATGTAAAGGATTTTAAAAAAAACAAATCCTTGTTAACTGAGTCAACTCTAAATACAAACAATAGGCATCGCACCATAGATACTCTTGATTTACGGAAACTGCACTAAAAACACAGAAAGAAATAAAATTTTATAAAGGTAGTTGAGAAGTCGTTTAAATATACTGGTAACCATTGTAAGCGACAGATTGCGCTCTAGCCGTTAAGCCCTTATTATCACTGTATCACTGTATGTTATGTCAAATAAACGACTTCCTTGATAATTCCAACTCAATCATGTGTTATGTATAATGTTGATTAAAATGCAGAATGTGTCATGTGACACTGATGACTCAATTCCTAAGCTTTTCATTCAACATTTTCTTCTCTCATCCTTTGCATTTTATGTCATCAATACACATGGCATATAAACAAAAATCTGCATAAACCAATACCTAACTGGATATCACGCATACTAAAAAATAGTGACCAGCAATCAGAATGAGATAGCTCAAAACTCAATAGGTCATTCCGTGCCACTGGGAGTTGAGCTCACTGACAGCGTGTCTGGATTGATTCAGCTCAGATAGTCGAATCGTTCAACAAATATCTAAATACAAGTCAGTCATTTAAGCAAACAAAGGCTACATTCAAACCAAGCAACTTGAACGAACGGAAAATGAACATGATTTTTAAAGCTGATTAATCTTTTTAGAGGATGGTAATAAGAAAAAAAATCTACACTATTGTGGTAAATTTGATCCAATTTAAAAAGCTTACACTTTTTGTGACAATTAGATTTCTAATCAAAAAAGGGGTATTTAATCGACATTTATGTCAATGTGGATCAATAACATGGAACTCAACACCAGAGTTTAATACTGTCAAGTTTGTGGATCAGTTTTAAACATGAGAAATACATATAAATATCTAGAGTAGTATCAGTTTTCTGCCTTAAATAACTATAAATCTTCACTAATGAATAGATAAGAACAAACGAGGGAAAATCAAGCGGGCTTTAGGCCAGGTAGAAGGTGCATAGATCATATCTTCACTCTCCAAGAGATCCTAGAGCATAGACACACTTTTAGGCGTCCAACAATTGCCATTTTTCTTGACTTGAAGGCGGCCTTCGACTCCGTGGATCGAGAGGTTCTATGGCAATGTTTGACTATGAAGGGAGTGCCAAGAAAGTACATTGCACTAATCAAGGAACTCTATTCAAACTCACGTAGCTGTGTAAGGGCTTATGGGGAATTGTCATCTGAATTGATAACAACCAGTGGTGTCCGTCAAGGATGTCCACTTTCCCCTTTTCTGTTTAACTTCATCATAGATATGCTAATGGAAGTATCCTTAACTGAACTTAACGACTTAGGAATCGACTTGTTACCAGGGAATAGTCTTATGGACTTAGAATACGCAGACGACATAGTCCTGTTAGGGGAGGACGCTGACAAAATGCAGAGTCTTCTGAACACCTTGAGCAGCAATCTTCGTATGTTTGGCATGCGATTCGCCCCTGTAAAATGTAAGATGCTGCTACAGGACTGGACTACGTCAACTCCTAGCTTAGTGATAGGGAGTGAAGTGATAGAACATGTTGACCACTTCACCTATTTGGGAAGTTGTATCAGCACCAACGGATTGATTGGTGACGAAATCATAGCACGGATCCAGAAAGCTCGGGCTGCTTTCGCTAACTTACACCGTCTCTGGCGTAGGCGTGACATCCGGCTGTCAACCAAGGGACGTGTATACTGCTCAGCAGTTCGCTCCGTCCTTCTCTATGGTGGTGAGACGTGGCCATTGAGAGCGGAAGACATGAAGAGATTGTCTGTTTTTGACCACAGATGTTTACGATCTCTTTCTCACGTTAGGTGGTATAATAAGGTAAGTAATGTTGACGTTAGGCGTAGAGTGTTGGGCAAAGAGGGAAAATCAATCGAAGAGGCTATGAAGTTACATAGATTGAGATGGCTAGGTCACGTGCTGCGCATGCCTAGCCATCGCCTCCCCCGACGGGCATTACTAGCTGATATAGGTGCAGGTTGGAAAAGAGTAAGTGGTGGCCAAACAAAAACATGGCATCAATCCATGAAATCCCTGACAGTTAAACTGAGTCAGGTAGGGAGATGCAGACTTCCGGGTTGGGGCCCTCGGGACTCTAAGAATCAATGGCTGGAGACAATAGGTGACATGGCTCAAAATCGTTGTCAGTGGCGCAGATGTATTCAGTCTCTTTAACCTTTCATATTCCTTTCTACCATTACTCATTCTGTTTCACTCTTATACTTATCTAAATTCTATTGATTCTCTTCTCTCATTTTCCTGTCTACCTTTGTGTGCTCTTTGGAACGTGGCAACTCGAACTGCTGCACCTCGGTGCCAAGTTCTATGTTGAATCCAGCAGCCAGCACCAGCAGATAAGAATAGATTTGGCATTTCCATTAGATGGATTTCATCAGTGGACAAATGTCAACATTCGAACAAGTAATCAAAGACCAAAGTTATAAGTGACTAATGCTCCCGGAAATTGCATTACATATCCATCAATCCCATTCCTTGACTGAAAACTCCACTTGAACCGTTTATTTTTGTAACGGATTTTAGTAGAATCTTAGAAGCAACAATAAATTATATCTGAGCATGCCGACGTACCTTCTTTGCGTTCAATGAGACTGTTATCCATTACCCACTACTCCAAGTGTGGATGTGGTTGATAGACTTAAACACCCGCAGGTCTCGCAATCGAATCTCACTCCACCTACCTCAAAAGCATGCTAACGTATGGTAATATCATCAATCCTAACACAGTAAGCGTGACCTATAGCTTTGGAGAACGGAAGATTCATCCTTGGCAATCGGGTTCAAACATTATTTCAAATAGTTTTGTGATTAACATCACAAAACGAAACAACCAATTCACAATTACTAAATGTCAAACAAATCAAGCAGATACATTTCACAGTAATAATGAATACTTAATGAATTTTAAGTGTTATTGCTCAGAATTTAATTAAAGTAACACAATATATTCAAATGTTATTGTGAGATACTGCATTTCGTCACTTCTAATTAATTAGTTGTAAGTATTTATGCATATGAAGTGTGCAAAGGTAGCAATTTTACATTCTATATTAGCAATGCATCTTGCCTGATTTGTGTTACAATTTAATCAAAGATTTATTATTCAGCCTACACTCCATTAATCAACTATATATATATATATATATATTTATATATATGTAAACTTGATTGGAATCAGTGGAAAATACAAACGTTCTCTCTTTCTCTCTTAAATACGATAGGAAATCCTATTAACAGAATAGTGATGATGGTGATGATGACGATAAGATAATTATAATAGAGTTTATTTAAGGTTAAGGCAACTGTTAGACATATATATATATATATATGTTCTAGATATGTCATAATAAGAGGCTGTAATACCTAAACAATTACGGCTAACACCAGTGTGTTAAGTGAATGAATGACGTGTACGCATAAACTACTGATCTGAGTAGCTTGTTTTGCCTAAATAATCAACTGTAATTCAAGTATTGGTTTGTAGGGATTTGGTTGACTGGTTACAGGGTTACATCATGAGCTGACATTGGTTAGAGAACCATTGGAAAACCTGGTAGTACTGAGCAGCTGTTTCGTCAGCCTAGCTTGGGACTCTTCATCAGTACGCCCGTTCTAGTGAGAAGTCGTGACCAGTAGAGTGCAGCAGGTCGAGTGTGAGGAGAAATACTCGCCGAAGACATTGGCTAGCGGTTGCGCTATGTCGTGAATTGGCAGAAGTTAGAATTCATGGGCTGGCCATTGGAGCGGGTCCCAGTGACTTAATTGTCTACGAGCTAGCTCCCCTTGTAACCAGAAGGTCCTGGTTTCGAGCCCCGGTGGGTGCGTATCGATGAAGAGTCCTAAACTAGGACGAAATAGCTGGCTGTCCAGTACTCCCAGGTTTTCCAATGGTTCTCTAACCAATGTCAGCTCATGATGAAACCCTGTAACCAATCAACTGTAATAATTGTAGCACAACAAATCGGTGCATTCTTTTCCTTTTGACCCGGAATCGTTTTGTTATGTACCATATTTCGTGAAAACAAATCTATTAAATGAAAATTGTTTTATTATTATTATTATTAGTAGTAGTAGTAGTAGTAGTACTCTTCCACGTGGTATGAACACATGTTCATTTAAAAACACAGCTGTGTCAAAAGTCAATGTTCACTTATTTCTTTGTTTATTTATTTGTTTGAAATAAGCCGACAAATATTATTATAAAAGAGACCGCAATATTATTTTAATTAGACAGTTTATAAACTATGACCCTTACGTAAACAGTGACAATATAAAAATATTCATACATAGCATTACATCATTCTGCTTCATGACAGATAATTCAGTGAGTTAAAATAAACTAGAGAAATCAGAATACTCTCCTATGGTCAGTGAGGGGCCATGAAAACAACACATAAACAGATGTGATCATTCATGAAAGTGATTCATATAATCGACTAAATTTAAGGTGTAGTTTAGCTATAGTCTAACAACTAGCTGGAAGCATGAGTGGTGCGCGTCAGTGGAATGAGTTTATTTAGAGTTTAAAAAAGGAGGCACCATGACGTTTTGAATGACTAACAACAACCATTTAGATAATACCTACAAGGGTTGTGTTATCCTTCGGTGATGACCACGTGCGTCGGTGGCAAAGCGGTTAGGACTCTCGCCGATCATGCACATGGTCCGAGGTTCGATCCCCTGCCGACACACACCTGATATCAATTGGTCAGCCTACTAAATTTGGGCTACTCATACCACATGCTGAAAATTCCACGCTTGTACAAGAAACTTTCAAGAAATTAAACGACATCTTATATATATATATATATATATATAGGGAGAGAGAGAGATCTTCAAGTTTCAGTAGCGGTGTTCAACATTCTCTCTTTTGCGGGTTTACAACTTGTTGGTAAACCAGGAGAGGTTTATGAATACACTGGCTTGCAACAACTAACTCAGAACTGGAACGGACATCACCAAATTTCTCTTTCATTGTGTCTATTACATTTACTTGAACACGTTCCATGATATTAAGAAATCAGCTGTTTTGCTGCCTCAGCTAGGAGGTTTTTTTCCGTACAACATTTTTATTCTGGGTTCTAGATACTTTCCACCATCCCACACTCCCGGTGAGTAGCAGAGCCATTATCACTGGTGATTATACACTTGTAGGACGAGTTGCATTACGATTTGACTACTAAGGGAATCAGATTTTAATCTCTGAGAGTGTATATTAATTGACCTTATATCACTTAAATATCTTCTCGATATGTGATATTTAACAAGAATGACACCGTGATTCATGATTTTTTGATGATTTTTTCCTTCACTTTCCCAGTGGAACATAGGGCTTCAAGCTAGAAGTTTGAAGTTTCTGTAGCAGTGTTTATTTTCACAGGATGGTGTTGCTAGCTTCATGCCCAATCTTTCCTCTTCATCAGCTTAAGTTCTGGCTTAGCGAGGTAAAGGAGTGCGTCGGCCGGGAATCTAACCCCGGACCATATCCATTGTCGGCGAGCGTCGTAACCGCTGTGCCACCGACGCTCTGCAGTATTTCCCAGTTCATGAACAGATCTGTCCAATTACGACTACTGAATATACGGCATATAGTGATGTACAATAATAAACACTAATAGCTTGTCTCTTAGTGAAAGTATCAGTTAGATTTTAAAAATTACACTCTTCTTTACAAAATGATAAACAGAAATAAAGAGTAAAAACTAACCAAGTGAACTGAGTCGATGATGATTCCACAAACTCTTGATGAATACGTAATCCATCTTTGCTAATTTCAATTTGATATAATTTTCCTTTATGATCCTACAAAAAAAATGTATACGAAGCAAAGAAATTATGATTATCTAAGAAATAGAAGTAAACTATCAATTTTAAAAGAATTTAAGCAGTTAAAACATCTAGAACTACTAAATACTTAAAATAGTGTTTCCATTCTAGTAAATACATATAATCCAGAGGAAGCATGAATTCCTCTAGCGAGCACGACACCTGACAATCACCTTCAACTATCTTAACATCAATTCAGAGTGCGACGAGATGACAAGCCACCTAGCTTGGCAAACTTGACTGATAGAATTCAGTCCACATCGATACCAAGAACTATATATATGACAATATTTACACCCTAGTGACTAATAAATGAATACGTTGGACAACTCAAGTGGCAATTGTGGAAAGGATTCTTGTGGTCCAAGTGGTCTAATGGATAACGAGCTGACGTTTGAAACGACGGATAACGGGTTGAAGTCCCAGTAGGAACAATATCACTCATTGGGTACACAAGCAGGTACACCCAAATGACAAGTCCCGAATAGGACGAAATATGTATTTTGAATTCCACTCCTAGTCAACATCCACCAGAATCACTTCAGCGGTTGTAAACATTTCAGCAACATTTCAACAATACACTTATGAAAGTCTTCTGAACACCCTGAGCTGCAATCTACGAATGTTAGGCATGCTATTCGTTCCCGCCAAATGTAAGATGATGTTACAGGACTGGACTACACTGACTCCTAGCTTAGAAATAGAGTGTGAAGTGGTAGAGCACGTTGACGGCTTCACTTATTTGGGAAGTTGCATCAGCCGACGCCTGCGGGTTGATCGCTGACGAAATCTCAGCGGATACAGAAGGCTAGTTTCGCATATGCCAGTTTACTCCGTCTCCGGTGTAGACGTGGTATCCGGCTATCGACCAAAGGGCTTGTGTACTGCTCAGCAGTCCACTCCGTCCTCCTTTATGGCTGTGAGACCTGGCTATTGAGAGTGGAAGACATGAAAACACTAGCTGTCTCTGATCATAGTTGCCTGTGTTGTATCTCCCGTGTGAAGTGGTATAATAAGGTGAGCAATATTGAGGTCAGGTGTCGAGTGCTAGGTAAGGAAGGGAAATCAATCGACGAGGCTGTGAAGCTACACCGACTGAGATGGTTAGGACATGTGTTACGTATGCCTAGTCATCGCCTTCCTCGACAATGGGTAATGTTAGCTGACATAGGCTCAGGCTGGAAAAGAGCTAGTGGCGGTCAAACGAAAACATGGCACCAGTCAATGAAATCCACAACAGTTGGTTTAAGCCATGTAGGAAGGTATAGACTTCCTGATTGGGGTCCTCGGAGACAATCGGTGATACGGCTCAAAATCGTTCTCAATGGCTGGTGCAGATGCATCCACTCCTTGTGACTTATAATTTCCAATGAAAGTGTATTGTGCTTCGATATTACTATCCCTTTTGTCTCATATCCCTGTCTACTATCCCTATTTTGCATTTATTCTACTTTTTTTCTCATACTTTGTGTGCTACATGGAGTGTGGCGACTTGAACTGTTGCACATTGGTGGAGAGTTCTATGTTGACAGCAGACAGTATCAAACAGAGATGACTAACAGAATTACACATAAATGAGTGAAGTGACTTGACAATTAATTAAACTAATTCACAACTCAGAGCAGATAAATGTCACTGTGCATTTATATTTTTTAAAATTCTTTTCATTCTATCTACTATTTTCTTTTTTTCAAAAATTTGAATGATAAATCAAGAATTCAGTTGGCAAATAATCTTGTTTTCTTTCTTCTCTTCTGACTTCAACACAAAATTACATTTTGACTGACATGCTTTTATACACACGTACTCTGAAAGAGAGAGAGGGAGAGAATTTAGGTCTCTCTCTCTCTCTAGTAAACACCCCTCAAATTTACTAAAAATTAAAAAATAAAACTACAAAGAAAAAACTAGATTCTAGTAGAGAAGTAATTGGTAGTTAGTTGCTACTAGATTTTCTTCTGGCTTCTTTTTCTCTTATTTTAGAAGAAAGAAAAAATACCCTTGTAAATGAAATTTTCCAGAGTACTAATTGATTTGATGATAATATATTTCATTCAAAACTGTTCACTCTAATGCATACCACTCTAATATACCATTAAACATGAACAGGCACAGACATCATACATCAATTGGACATCAAGGCCATATAATTACACATACCAATTTATCAGTAGCTAATAAGGATCTATTGCAGAATCTATAGTCAGCAGACTGTTTTTGAACAGTCATTTATTTGATTGGCACACACGCATATATATATAAAGCTATTTTGTGGGATTTTTACTATTCAACAGTTCTGTATTTAGCAACACTTGGCTGACTATTAACAATCATCTCAGACTTTGTAAGGATTTTGTTCTAATGAGAAGTCATGGTCAGTGAGATTCTATCATGTCAATAACGCTAAGGTTGATTTTTATCTGATGGCATTGGTTAGCAGTAGTCGAAGTTCACACGTCCTTGAATTCTAACTCAATGGCTGAATACTAAATGAGTCTAACCCATGACATGAAGATCTCTGGTTAGATAGTAGTAGTGAGTGAGCAGTATTGAAGAGTCCCTAACCAGAACGAAACACCTGGTGAGTGATCGTTGTTTTTCAATGATTCTAGAACTGATGTCAATTAGTGATGAAGCATCGTTCCAACTACAGGCGGAACTGACGAGGATATCAAAGCGAGGATAGAGGGAGCAAGCCAAGCTTTCGTTTCTCTCAAGTCTGTGTGGAGATCAACAGCACTTAGCATGAAAAATAACATCCGGATTTTCAACCCCAATGTGCAGTCAGTGCTACTATACGAACCAGAGACTTGGCGCAGCGCCGCGTCACGAAGGGCACTTCGAACAAACTACAGACTTTCATCAACAGCTGTCTTCGCTCAATACTCAAGATCAGATGACCTCCCCGAAAACATAAGCAACAGGGATCTCTGGGAGCGAAACAACCCAGCAGGAACCGATTGTGCAAGAAATATGCAGGAAGAAATGCAGGTGGATTGGTGACACTCTGAGAAAACAAACGATCAAGTGACATCACACGCCATGCCACCTCTCGAGTGGAACCCGAAAGGGAAGCGGCGAATTGGTCGCCAGTGAGAGGGTGACATGGAGGAGGTCATATGAAGAGGAGATGAAAGCATGTGAGCAGACGTGAAGCCAGGTGAAAACGTTGGCGGAGAACCGGACTCAATGGAAACGTGCGGCTGAAGCCTTATGTTCCTCTAGGAACTAAAGGAAAAATAATAATATAATATAAATTATAGTGCAATAGTTTAACTGTGGGAAAACTAAACAGTAACAAGGAAGATCTAAGGCAGGAGGTAAGGCATATAAGATAAGCTTTAACGATTATCAACTACCCTGATAAATTAATTAATTTAGGATGTATGTAGGAAAAAATAAAAGCAAAATTAATAATAATAATAGTAATGTTAGTTATACTACTAATAATACTGACATGACACACAGGATAATGATAGCACCAACAATAAGGAATTTAAATCATCAGTAGTACTTTCATATAAAGAAGCAACCTCGGAAACCTTACTTAGAGTTCTCAACAATGCAAGAATAGTAGTGGCATTCAAACCCACAAATTCAATTAGAAACAAATTATGTGCGTTAAAGGATCCAGTGGAGCACATTAAACAAAATAATTTAGTTCACCTAATACCTTGCAATGATTTTCACGTTAAATACATAAATCAAAGTGGTAGGATGGGGCCAGTCGGACTAACGCAGCACAAAACCTTAGCGAAATCTAGATTAGTTGACCCTAGTACGATGAGAAATCGAGAGAATATTTCAGTTATAGCACTACACGCAATTACACACACCCATACAATAGGATGGGATAAGATGACACTTCTAAAATCTAATTTAATAGGGTGGAGGGAGAGAGACGATAATGAAGGCTTTATTTGTCGAGTCAACTGAAGATACATGCAATAGAAATGATTCAACAGCTATCCCAGACGTCTGAAAAATTCTACAACCTCTACGAAGAATGAAAAGGAATACAGAAAACTGTAAAACGAAAGTTTCCAAGCAGGATGGTTGTAACTGATGTGATTATGAACAACAATAAATTGTGTTCAAAACGTCATCCAGTAAATAATACTGTCTCATTGTGTGATATTGTCTAAAACAAAAAAAATTAATACGGAATTACCTACTACTACTCCTACTACTACAGTGGCCAAGTACTGCACACACATATTAAGCTGTCGTACACTGTATGTCTCCATATTGAAATGGAATGTAACAAAGCGGAATAAAACGAAAACGAAAAAGAATACTACGAACACATACATAACTATGTAAAAATAAATTATTTCTTTTATACATTAAAGCAATTCTCCACTTTTCGCATCGCATCGCATTGCATCGCATTATCAAAGTAATCACAGACACACTGCATCCAATTTTCTACAAGCTTTTCGTAAGAAAAGTCTATTCAATACAAGACGCAACACGCCCAAAAACAAAGAAAGAGAATACGAAAAGAAAAAGATACACCCAATCTCAAAATATCTACTAAATCATTACAGGAATTATAAGAATTTACAACACAATCATAATAGTAATAATAATAATCATAATAATAATAATAAGGTAAATGATTCATGATATTTCAGGTTGAAATCTCGGGAGTACTTAGGCCTATTATGACTACCTTTCTCCCCAGCCTTTGCGTAGCATGTAATAATAATTTAGGCAATTACAATTACAGACTATGCAAACGGCAATAAGATTGGCAATATATATATATATATATATATATATATATATTTACAGACTCATAGATATGCTATTAATTTGGTGTGCACAATTAACAATGCATATTATTGTACTCATTATTATAAATACATTAACATAAATTCACTTATGCTTGTTGTATTTCTGTTCGTTTTTTGGCTTCTTCATTGTCATATGAAATTGCATGTGATGATGATTTTACAAAACTGACAATATTT